AGAGTGCAGTCACTGTTCTATGATGTTGCTAAGCAGAATTTAGGTTGTACCATTCAGTATCATAGTGCCTACCACCAGAAAGTTCTATTTTTCTCATGTAGTAACTGGGTCCCAGAAAGATCAAGTAACTAGGCCAGACACCCAGAGAAGCAGCGGAATTAGATGTAGCGACATTAGGTTTAGAGAGTGAGGGCGCTCAGCGGCGCAGGCTTCCCAGAGTCTAAACACGTGGGCTACGGCACTGGGCTCTCTCGATCGAGAAGCCGGTCGAGCGCGGCTGCACGGTGGCCCATGGCCCGCGGACGGGGACGACGAAGTGGTCCACCTGTGAAGAGGCAGTCCGGGGGATGACGTTTCAGGCACGTAATCCACCAGTGGCGACCAGCAGCCTCCAGCTGGGGGGAAGGGCAGTGGCTCTCCTTGGTTGTGCTCCATCACTTTCAGTCGCCAATTAGCGTAGAGTGGCATTGAGTCACCTGTCAAGATAAAACGGTCTCGTTTTCCACACCGGCTGATTTCTGCCAACAGAAGCAAAGTCCAGCAAGACACCAACTACATATAGCATTGGAAAGTGACAAAAAATAACCGCCCACTCTTTCACCATCTCTGCTAGGAAGATCTGGGGACAAATACTGTCAAACTGAGCAGATCAGAAAAAAAGAGGAGAGAGAGAGACCACTTCAGGCCACGTCCCTTGAACTGAAGAAAAACTGCACTAGCCCTTGGTGACTGACATCGGAGCCCCGAGGTCCCATTGCAGCGAAGCTGCATGGCAACCAGGGCTTCCAGTAAGATGTCTGGGTCTCACTTTCCCAAACGGGGACACAGACCCAGCTCGGAAGGAAGGAATCTGCTCTACCAGTGGGCTGCAGGGCGCGGTACCAATGCCGCAAGGAAATGGGAGTTCTGAGTGACGTGGGTAAGTCACTTAACCTCTCTGGACCTCAGTCCATTATGTGCGGAATGGGGAGATCGGACCAGACGGTCTCCGGGCTCCTCCCTAGTCTGCAAGCCTGTGCTCCTCCTCCACCCTCCGAAATGCCAGTGTGGCCTGGGTAAGTATTCGCTTTCGATCCCCTGGGAGACGTGTCCCAGGAAAACCCGCACCCGTGCGTTAGGAGCAGACCTGTCTGTTCCCAGAGCTCGTCCCATGACAGCCCTGAGAGCCGATTCGCAGGCCTCTCGATTTATTTATAGGAGCCTATGCTAAAAAGACAAATCCCCCCACGTCTTGAAATCACTGCTTCTCAACATCAGGACGTTCTAGGTTATGTTGAAACAACACTAGTGGCACTTACATACGCTTCTTAAAAATGACTTATTAGAAAAACACGGTTATGAGCATCCCCACTGTGGCCACAGAAAACATGCGGAATTGATTACTTTTCTCTTCCTCGTAGGAGCCTCCGGAGCTGCTGCTGTGCCGCGACTCCAGCCTGTGGTGCTGCCGGCTGAGGTGGGTGTGCAGCCCGCCGCAGATGTCCAGGTGTGTGCAGCTGCGGGAAGGCACGGGTTAGAGGCAGCTCACGGGAACACGCACATGGGCCGCGCGGCTTCTTCCTACCCTCAGAGGAGAGGAGTACGCAGACGACAGACGCTCCCACCTTATCATGCGGAAGCTCAAGCTTTCAGCCTATTACTTCTAGCAAGAGAGTCCCCTCGAATAGGAATGGTGAGAATGTTCCGGTAAAACTTATTTTGTATAAAACAGGCAGAAGAAATACTCATTTAGAGAAGTCTAAGAAAGTAAGCAACATAGAAGTGACATACATAGGGACCAGCAGGTGGCATAAGGGTTATGTCGCTGGACTCCCACACGGCAGACCATGGCTGGCTTGAAAAATCACACCTGGGACGTGTGCATGCGTGTCCCAGATCCCAGTAGGAAAACGGAGAAGGGACTGCAGCGTGGCCATCCCCTGTGGGGGACTTTTCATTTCCCTCTCACTGTCTCTCCCCCTCTCCAGCAAGCACATGTACCCTATGGCAAAAACCTCTTAAAAAAAAGTGACATATAATCCATCCATTCATTCATGAGAGAGCATTTTAAAATCGAGCATATGCCAGCATCTTTAATATTCAAACAGGCAAGGTGGAGAATTTCCAGCGTGGAAATATATTTCTTCGTTAGAACTGAACATAATAAAATACACATTCCAGGGCAGGAGGCGTGACTGCTGAGGGCAGACTGCTAGCTGTCGGACGGGCAGAGCGGAGGGTACGTGAAGATGCACTCACCTCTCTTCAGTGTTCTCCTTCATGGGCTTACTCTCCGGAGTGCTCTCGGTGGGAGCGACCATTGTATTGCTACTAGAAGTAGTTCCTATAGTCAAAACAAACAGCACCTGTGACTCTGACAGCCTGGGGCAACTCTGTACAGCTGAAGATTTCAAATACAGATGTCAAAACTTCACTAAAATGAGACAAAGTGACTTATTTTTAAATTTTTCAAAGATTTATTTAATTTTATTTTTAATTTCTTAATTTTTTATTATTTTTTGGAAGAGTTTTTTGCTATAGGGCACGTGCGCTCGCCAAAAAGACAGAGAGAGACAGAGAGAGAGAGCGAGAGAAAGCAAGAAATCACCTCTTGGGGGGATGGGCATACTGCAATCCCTTCTCTTCCATTCTTCTTTCAGGATCTTGGGCACGCATGCACACATGCCTGGTGTGAGTTTAAGCCACCAGGTCTGGGACTCAAATCAGGGCTGACTACATGGGAGTCCAGGGACATAGCCATTATGCTAACTGCTGGTCCCTATTTATTATTATTATTATTTCACTTGCTGTAGGGCATGTGTGCTCACCAGAGAGAGAGACAGGGAGGGAAAGTGAGAAAGCAAGGTGCCTGGTTTAGGACTCGTACCATGGCAGGCCGTGTGGAGTCCTTAACTATCAAGTCACCTGCTAATCACTCAAAAGTGATTTTTAAAAAGGAATGTACTCATGATAAAAAGGAAAAGGAGACAATAACAACACATTTTTGGATATGAGACAGGAAGTAGTCACATGATCAAAAGCCTGACTCCTAAGCCGACTGTGGGGACGTATCGCTGAACCTCCAAAGGCTCAGGAACGAGTGTTGTCAAACACCTACTGCTGAAGATGCTGCTACGTAAGAGACTTGGCTGAAAAACTTTCTTAGAAGTAGCTGGTCCTGGGAACCAGCAGTTAGCGTAATGGCTATGTCGCTGGACTCCCACGTAGTCGACCGCGGTTCGTGTCCCGGACCCGGTGGCTTAAAATTCACGCCGGGCGCGTGTGCGTGCGTGCCCAAGATCCCGAGAGGAG